GGGGCCGGCCCGGTGGCACACTGCTACAGTGCGCCGCTTGAGAGCACGGCAGCGCTCCCGCCGAGGGTTCGGATCCCACATACAGACCGGTTCCCGCTCACTGGCTGGGCGGGGTGCAGGCGCGACACTGAGGGTTGCGATCCCGTTGCCGGTCCCGGTCCGGTGCGGGCGCGACACTGAGGGTTGCGATCCGTTGCCGGACACGAAAAAAGACAAAAAGGAAAAAAAAAGAAAAAAAAAAAAGAAATGCAGGTCTGGAGGCTGCAACCTAAAACTCTAGAGGTGGGGCCCTGGGAGCTGTCCCTTAGGTAATTCTGATGCGTGCTCAATTTTAAGATTTAGTGATTTAGATCATATTAGAAATAGAGTGCAGGTGCTAGAATCAGACAGGGTTCAGATTATATCTGTGCAGCTCAAGTTCTCTATGTGCATGTTACTTTACCTCTTAGCCTCAGCATTCCCGTCTGTAAAATGGGATTAGTAATAACCTATCTTAAGGAGTTATTTTGAAAATTAATATAAAAATGTGTGGCAAGTCTGGCTGGTTAGTTCACTTGGTTAGAGCGTGGTATTTATAACACCAAGATCAAGGGTTTGGATCCCCATACTGGCCAGCCGCCAAAAAGAAAAGAAAATAAATGCATGACAAGCACTTAGTATTGTGTGTCTCATAAATAGTAAGCATACAGTAAAGTGGTTTGTTATCATTATTATTGTTAGCAATCTTCCTAGACCAGATACTAAATCTTTTTAAACAGCATTCCAGTTTGATGGTTATCAGTGAGGAGGGAATTCAAAATTTCTGGCCCATTCCTATGACTGACAGCTGTAGCTATTAATAGTTATTTTATATATTAAGAGAATATTTGCCATCCTGTGATTTCCATTCTTAGTTGTAGCTCTGTTCCATAGAGCCATTGGTATGAGACTGTTCTACATGGCAGTTGTTCAGATGTTTGAAGGTAGTGACCTTGGCCATTTTGAAGACTTTTTCTTTTTTTTTTTTTTTTTAAAAGATGACCGGTAAGGGGATCTTAACCCTTGACTTGGTGTTGTCAGCACCACGCTCAGCCAGTGAGCGAACCGGCCATCCCTATATGGGATCCGAACCCAGGGCCTTGGTGTTATCAGCACCACACTCTCCCAAGTGAGCCACGGGCCGGCCCTTGAAGACTTTTTCTTGATCTGTTCTCAAAGATTAACTTAAACATAGAAGATATTTGAAATCAGTAGGGCTTTTTTAAAAAAAGAAAGAAGGCTGATAGCTGAGAATATACTTTGGTGAAGTAAATCTTAGGGGCATCTCTGCCTATCAGGAATCTCCAGAGTTTAAGGTTGAGGCATCTCAGAGGGACTTGGGGGCCTGGAGTAGACATGATGCATGAAGATCACTACTGGTAAGAATTCTTCTTTTTGCTGGCAGGCGTGCGAGCCAGAGTTACCCACAGAGCATTTGCATGTGGGTCCCTGGGAGCACTTGGTCCTGGCTCATGAGCAAATTGCCGGTGCTCTGTCCGGTGTCCTAGTTCTCACCTGTGTTACCAGCCCTCTATTCTCTAGCAGACGTCACGGTGCTTGCAGTCTGCTCTCAGGTTTTAGGATTTTTTTTTAATTGATGTCTAATTAGTACTTGTGATAAATTGTACTAGCCAAGCAAATGATACCTTTGTAAATTATGCCATGGTGTTGTGTACAGCAGCAGCAGAATTGCTATTTGAAAATGAGATTTCGTAAAATAAACATGTGCCCAGATTACAGGAAATGCCAAATTGATGATTAATTGATGCTCTGGAGCTGGCCTCGTGCTTTCAAATGCTTCCATTTTTGTGATAATCCATCTAGTGGAAGTTTCAGCAGGCCCACACCTCTGATAATTTCCAGATAACTAGTTTGCAGTTTGTTTTCTGCCATCTAATGCGAGGGCAGGTGGCCATTGGGCAATGCAGAGGTTTCCTCTGTCCACGCTGAGGGTCAGGTTTACTAGAAGATGATGAATGGCCCGAGGCTGTCAGGATCTTCTGCAGCTCAAGAGTGCATCTCCAGCCTGGGACTCAGGAACTGTGACATTGCTACATTATCAAGGACTTTTTATTAAGCTCCTGCCATTTGTACCATCATTGTCGTTGCATTAGGGAGGGCTGATATTCAGGGAAAGGGAAGAGAACTAGAAAATAGTTGTTTTTTTTTTCAAACTAGCGGGTAAAGACTTGAGCCTGCCAACACATACCCAGGGAGAGTTGCCAAGATTTGAGTGATTTCATTTGTAAGTGAATGATGTATCACCTGAGATGTGAAATAGATAGAAGTTTAGACATGTCTGAGAATAGTTTAGAAAAGTCACTGAGAAAAGAGTTCATGGTAAAATTAATAACTAGTGATGGTGAATGGAGTCTTGACAGCAGTAGGGGACATACCACATCAAAAGCTACCCAGAGGCTGGCCCGTGGCTCACTTGAGAGAGTGCGGTGTTGATAACACCAAGGCCATGGGTTCAGATCCCTATATAGGGATGGCCGGTTTGCTCACTCGGGAGAGCGTGATGCTGACAACACCAAGTCAAGGGTTAAGATCCCCTTACCGGTCATCTTTTTTTAAAAAAGAAAAAAACCTACCTAGGATGCTGAGGGCCAGTGGATATTTCTTGGGGGAAAGACTGTGGTCTGGACCTTAGCCTGGTGGATTAATATGAAGCAGCATAAGCCTGAGCCAGCTATCTCCTGGAACAGTATAGAGTCAGAAGGGTGGCAAAGGCCCTGGACTCAAACGGACCACACTGCCTCTTAGCAGCTGTGTGGTTTGAGGCAAGGACGTCGACTTCCTGAACCTCACTTTTCTCATCTGTTTTCTACCTATCCAGTAGCTCTTCCCATAAGGTGTGGAAGCTAGCTCAGTGCACAGCATAGTGACCACTGAGGTTTGGAAAGTGTCAGAGCTTCTCTCAGAAGAGTATGGCCATGGCAGCTCCTTTGTAACTGTCAGCTGCACAGTAGGATGTCCTTGGGGCTGGCCCATTTAACCCACTTTTCTCTGGGGGGAGAGGTCTGTGTGCAGTGAACAGCTTTTAAGCAAGGGAATTGATAACTTCTGCTCCCATGTTCTTCAGAGTTCACCTGCCACCAGTCTGGGGCCCCAGAAAACAGGCAGGCTGACTGCTCTTCTCTTGCAGTGATAGCTGATGTGGAGATATTCAGCTCTCAGGAGCCTAACTGACTTCAGGGCCTGGTCTTCAGTCCACTGTCCACACTGCCTCTGGTGTTCAGTGGTGGCACTTTCTCAGGGCCCCTTCAGCAAGCCAGAGTTACTCAAAACCACAGTCGTCAGAAGGGACCCAGGGTTGCTTTGGCCATGAAATTTCTTCTTGGTTTTCACAGTGACTTCACCATCCTTGAGACCTGTGATCTTGGTTGGTACACGGTGGACTTTTACTTCTCTGGGACAGGGAGAATGGACTTGGAAGCTAGTTCTTGGAATCCCCTCCAAGCTGAACAGTGTTCCTCTGCTGCGGGCGGGGCGGGGTGGTCAGTCTTCCCTTTGCTATTTTATGTTCCTCTATGTTATTTATTTAATTTTTACTACTTTTTCCCCTTACCTTACACTATACCAAATAAGTTCTAAAACAATCACAGAGTTAAATGTTTAAAAACAGATGATAAAAGAACAAGAAGGGAAATAAATATAGACTATCTGATGTACAAATAGGAAAAGCTGTTCTAAGCATAAAACAAAGGAAGACATCATGAAGAAAATGACTGGTCTTTAAAACTTAAGATTTTTGAATTTTGTACTTCAAAAAATTCAATAAACAAAATTAGAGGACAGATAACAAAAAAGGAAAAATGTAAATATGTATACGTAACATTAACATAGTTACTTAATATTCAAAGACCTCTTTTGAGTACAAAATGTGAAGAACCACTCCAGTAGGAAAGTTAACAACATGAACAGGAAATTCACAAAGTAAGAAATACATATTTCCGAGAATTTGTTAAACTTACTGGTTGTCCGGCCGGCCCGGTGGCGCACTCGGTAGAGTGCGGCGCTTGGGAGCGCGGTGGCGCTCCCGCCGAGGGTTCGGATCCCATATAGAGACCGGTCCACTCAATGGTTGAGCGCGGTGCGGACGTGACACTGAGGGTTGCGATCCCGTTGCCAGTCGCAGTACGGGCGCGACACTGAGGGTTGCGATCCCGTTACCAGTCACGAAAAAAGACAAAAAGGAAAAAAAAAAAACTTACTGGTTGTCCAAAAAATATAAATGTGGCTTATTTCTAATAGTGAAAGCTTGGAAAAACCTAAATGATTAACAGTAGGACTATTTTTAAGTTATTGTGTACTAAGTGCAAACAATGGGTTAAAATATAGCATTATCTCCATTTTAAAAAATTTAAATGGGGGTCCAGCCAGTGGCTCACTTGGAAGAGCATGGTGCAGACAACACCAAGTCAAGGGTTAAGATCCCCTTACCAGTCATCATTTAAAAAAAAAAGATTTAAATGGTGGCTTATAGTTAGCTCACTTGGTTAGAGTGTGGTGTTGGTATAACACCAAGGTCAAGGGTGGTTTAGATCCCTGTACCAGCCAGCTGCCTAAAAAGAATTAAAATGAAAAATTCAAGAGTACACATCAAAATGTGGACAGAAGTTATCTTTAGCTTCTTTATTTAAAAAAAAAAAAAAGATGACCTGTAAAGGGATCTAAACCCTTGGCTTAGTGTTGTCAGCACCACAGTCTTCCAGGTGAGCCACGGGCCAGCCCCTGTCTTTAGCTTCTGTACTTGTATTATTTTAATTTTTACCACAAACAAGTATTTTTAAAATTTTAAGCAAAAAAGAAATTGGGAAGGGAGTGAAGCATTTAGAAAAATCAGAGAGAAAGCATGCTTAGCCCTGTTCCTCTCTCATGGTGGGTTGCTCATGGAGTCTCCCTGGCTTTCCCCATCTTTTCTTCTTTCTCTGCTCTCTAGTTCCTACTCTTAAGACCCCCTGCTTGTTTCTCCTCAGGATTGAGCACAGAAGGCATCTACCGTGTCAGCGGGAACAAGTCGGAGATGGAGAGTCTGCAGAGACAGTTTGATCAAGGTGAGGCCTAGCCTGGCCAAGCATTGTAGGCTGGAGTCAGTCAAGGTATTCACAACAGCTGACTGACAGTGGGGCCTCAGGGTGCCCCTGCCACTCACAGACCCAAAGCCAAGAGGTGCTGCCCCAGCGACTGAGAAAAAGACTGCATGTGGCCCCAGTTAGCTTTGCCTCTGTGTTCACACTGCCACAGAAGAGAGGGACCAGGACTTGTCACCAAACCGAAGTACCATCCCTGCCAAGGCTGAGTCTGCCGGGCCACTCCCCTACATTACCTTCCACAAATGCCATTCCAGGTTGTCCTGGCACGTGCCTCCTTCACCACCGAAGAGCCTTGCCTCCCTTGGCCGTGCAGGCTAGTCACAGGCATATAAAGCAGAATTAGGGTTGAGATGATGATCCTATTTTGCCAGGGCCAGGAGTACTCTCAATCACAACTGCTCTTCTCATGATGTCCCTGCACAAGAGAAAGCAAAGGGACATTTTGTGATTAGCTGAGGCTTAGGATCCAGACTCCCAAAGCTGAACTCTCAAGAGTTACACTCGCTCACGGTGACTCCCTTCTCCGAAGCCAAGTCAGCTTTGAGAGGCCTAGAGTCAGGCAGCCAGACTCTTTAACTCTTGGAAGTGACCACATTGAGAAGAGAAGCCATACCCACCACAGCCAGAGCAGAAGAACCAGAACAGTGAAAGTTCTCAGCTCTTAGTGGCCAGTGAGGGAGGCAAGGGAAGGAGCAGAAGGACCAGATGAGCTCATGGCTGGGCCTGAGGAGGCACAGTGGGAGCAGACATCCCACCCACCCACGCATGTGACCATAGCACTTTGCAGCACCACAGTCAGGCTTAGCTAGCTGGCAGTGGACAGAAGTGACTACACAAGAGAAGGAAATAAATGCTAGTCTTGTGGGATGGGAAACCAGGTCAAAATAGGGGTAGAACCCTACAGTGGGGGATGCACTTGTATACCTGCAAGAATCTGTAATAGTTTATATCTCCCAGAAATGGGAACCAGTAATGTCCATCAGTAGATGATTTCTTTGTAATCAGGAATGCAATAAAGTACGTAAAGAGAGGGCTGGCCAGTTAGCTCAGTTGGTTAGAGTGTGGTGCTGATAACACCAAGGTCCAGAGTTCAATCCCTGTACCGGACAGCTGCCCCCCCCAAAAGAAGTATGTAAAGAAAAGGAAAATAAGAGACGGATCATTGGTGCCATTGGCTGGGAGGGGCTAGAGGGAGAAAAATGAGTCTATTTGCCCTACCACCATAGGGGACAATGATGGAGGCAGCAGTCAAGCTGGTCAGTAACATTTTTGTAACCCTCCTGAAAAGTGAGCCAGCCTTTTAGGAAGGCCTCCCCGTTTTTATTCTGATGGGGAGGGGAATAGGGAGGAGGTAGCAACTCATCGAAGCCAGGCGAGGGGAGGTGGATGGCGTAGAAAGTGAGGGTGGGAGACATGCAACTCCCTTACCCAGAGGGCAGTGGAGGGGGGAACCCAGCAACCTCAGAAAGCAGTGGTGGGTGTTAGCCTATGTCTGTGAATCTCAGAATTTTTTTTTTAGCAGCACCCAGAGATGTTATCTCCTCTCCTGTTCATGCTGATTCTGAATCTCTGCCCAGGCTCCAGACCAGCCGTGGGCAACATCCCCAGGTGCCCAAAGTTTCTCTGGCTTCTCCCAAGACCTCGGTTTTCCTTTTGCTTCTGCCTGGCTTTGATTGGTCTGGCCTTACTCTCCAAAATTCCTTTCAGATCATAACCTGGACTTGGCAGAGAAAGACTTTACAGTGAACACTGTGGCCGGTGCCATGAAGAGCTTTTTCTCAGAACTGCCAGACCCCCTGGTTCCATACAGCATGCAGATTGATTTGGTGGAAGCGCACAGTGAGTACTGTCAGCCCAGCGTGGCTCAGGGGCCCCTGGCAGCACACCACACTGACCCTGTGTTGGGCACGTTGAGGGAGAGGGGGTGTGGTACCATAAGAACAGGTTCTGCCCTTGGAATGACACTCTGGCTCTTAGAGCTGAGGATTGAAGACCAGAAGGAAAGGGGACTAACCAGATAACACCAAAGGAACTTGCAAATCAGGCCCCTAACTTTATAGACCATAGGTGCTTATCTGAGGGTTTCACCAAGAGAGTTACAGATTTCACCCGAAACTTTGTCCGTTAAGAGCATCATTTGGTGACAAGCTTGGGTTGAATCCCTACTGCTTTACTTGTGGCCAACTTAACCTTCTTTGCCTTTTGGTTTCCTGCCGTTGTTACTATCCCTACTCCTGTTGGTGAAATGAGGTGAGGAAAGGTCTGGAGGCGATACCTATTTAGTAATAGGTTTTACTTTCCTTTCCCCTTTTCTTACTTCTCTTCTCCCACCTCTCATATAAAGAATTTAACATATGGTCTTAGGCCATACATCCTCTTAGGAAGCCAGCCTCTAGAGGGAAAAGGACAGTTCCAATGGCCCAGGTCAGGTGGTCGCTTTGCACTGTAGCAGATTAGCACCTCTGGTTTTAATGGTGACCTCTGTGCGCCATCTCGCCTGCCTTATCAGCTCTTTTTCTCCTGGCCTCCCTCTCTGGAGGTGTTTGTCCATCCGTATGGGTGAACCTTCTCACTGACCAGCCTCTCCCTGGACTTTTTGTAATGCCACAGAGGGGGCCTGACCTCTCAGAGCTTCCCACATATGGAACTTAGTACCTTTTATAGCCAGAGGCAGCCTTCCTACTTTCACCTTTGGTGGGCCAAGACCCAGAAGCAGCCGTTGCTGTGCAGCTGCAGAGGGGATTGTCTTTGCCAGCTACCCAGAGATCATAGCCACCCAATGTTTCAGTGACCAGTGGGTGGGAAAGAGAAAAGGAGATGTGTTCCTCAGGCCATGGGGCATTAGTCTCATCTTGGCACTGCCCAACTCAAAAGAGGGAGTTTTAAACAAGCACAATTTATTCACAAGGCTGATAGTGTGGGAAAAATTTTAGAGAAATTACATATCAGCATGTCTCCGAGTCCTGGTAACAGACTCTTAGTGGCTTCTAAGGGAAACAGATGCAGAGGAAACCCATGCCTGAACTGTGGAGGTGCCCCTGTCAGATCCTGAATGTTGCCGGGGCTGGAGGGCCTCCAGGGTTACCTTTCCATAGTCTGCATTTCCCATGATGTTTGTTTCTGCAACCTGGGTGCCGCTTTCACCTTCTTCTGTCTACAGTCTTAGCTTATTGAATTGTTCACACCTCCTAACCTTATCTGAGCCCACCAGGGATGGGGCAGGAGTGCATAGTACTTGTGGGACTGTCATAGGGTTGCCTGGCCTTCTTTCCCATCTGACTTCTAAAGAACAGGAGTCAGCATTTCTCCAGGTTAGTTAGGGAGTAGGGACAGTTCCTGATCCTCCCATCCAAAGATATTGTCCAGCAATTCCAGGCTGGCCCACATGTTAAATGCACAGGAAATCTCTTTCTGGAGCTAGATTTCTTTCAACGTAAGCCTGTCTCTAAGAGGAATTTAGGAAGAGAGGAAGGTGTGGACTGGTGGTACCCAGCTTGGTAGAAGCCAGGGATTCCTGTTTGCATTTGTCTTGACTTGGCGCCATCTAGAGGCCTGTAGAATCCCGACACCTGACAGAATCCCATTGTTTCTGCGAGGACTGCTGATGTAGCACCTTTTTGTCTTTGGAGGTAGGGGACAGGAGAGGGAATCAGCTGCCCTCGCTACAGCAGCTTTCATCTGGCTTCTGATGCTGAGGAGGTGGCCTCTGGCTGCTGCTGCTGCTGCTGCTGCTGCTACGGCAGCAGCCTAGAGAAGGGGGGAGGTTTTCCGCTTCCTCTTCCATTGTGTGTTTCCTGTGGCCCACACTAGTCAGCTGGGGCTCCGTTGTCTTGAACCTAGTAGAAGGGGGTGGAGAAGGAATATATCTCGCTGACATGGCACCTCTCACAGCCAAAGCAGTTGAATGAAGAGTGGGGCTGTGTGTGTTGGGGGTGGGTTTAACTGAGCCAGAAATACCAGGCAGTGCAAAAGTTAGTGTTAAGGGACATTGTGGAATGAAGATTGGCTTGCCCTGAAGTAGCTGTTCCCAGATTGCCTGGGTTTCCATAGCAACATCAACTTGACCAGCTCTTTCCGCTTCCTACCTAAGAGCAGTTAAAACGTCTCTGTGCGTTGAGGCCTTGGAACTGGTTTCAGATCCCATCACAACAATAAAGTCACTATCAAATTGTTTTGCTGTCTCCAGAATTTCGTAATATTGAACATTGCTGAAAATGTGCCCACAAAATAGAGATTTTTTTTATTATTTACGAGTTATCTTCCTACCACGTTCAAGGTGATGTGTGGGAGATTCAGAAATGAATAGCAGCACCAGCCATAGTGCACGTTGATTGTGTGCTTGCATTTGCCTGTCTTGGCTTTCTGCTTGGCGTTTGATTTACATGGTTCATCTTTATTAGTTCTCAGAATAACCTTTGAGATAGATAGTGTTATATCACCATTTCATAAAGGAGAAAACCGAGGCTCTCAGAGGTGACACAACTTGCCCAGGGTCACACCATCAGGGAGTAGCAGGCGGGGGCTTGAGTCTCTGCCCTCCCTGGGTGCGCATTGAAATTACCTGTTAACAAGGTAAAGCTCTGAGCTAGAAGTGCAGAAATCACAGTGAGGAGGGAGTAAGGAAGAAGGCTTCATGGGAGAGGTGGCACCTGAACTGTGATGTCAGGAACGGCCAGGATTTCAGGAGGCAGAGAAAAAGGCTTTGTATTGCCCGTTTCATCTTATCCTCACACCTCACCCCAGCCTTCAAGAATTGTTCTTGCCCTATATCTTTTTTTCTCTTACGACACTCTCGTCCCCTAACTATCTGGAATCCCTCCAGGCCAGCCAGTCCCCACAGGGCCTGTCTTAGGGCTTTTGTACTAGAAGGAGTCCTAGATCTGGCTCTGTCTCAGTCCAGAGGTTGAGGGCCTACCAACCTGTGGCTCCAAGATCCTCATTAAGCCCCCATAACTGCTCATAAAATTTAGTCTTTTTAATCTAGAGAGAAGAAAAGTAGTTTTCCTCAGATTGTCAAAGGGATGTATGACCCATAAAAAGTCAGGATGCCAGCTTATCTTCTTACCCTTCCCAGTCGACAGATGAGACAAGTCAGGCTACTGATACAAATGACTGACTGCCAAGGCCACCTGGCAGACAGGTCTTGAGGACCTTTGGGTTCTTGTTCACAAGCTGCCCTTGAAATTGCTGATTCTGGGATCCTACCTTCCTCTTGTCTGTCCAGATAGCTGCTTAAGGGTACAGGTGTGTTCCTCGCATCCAAGCATGGGATTTATTAATTGCACAGATATGAGTATGTGCCAGGCCATATATGGACAGGGACAGATGACAGTGGACAGACAAGACAGTCCCTATCTCAGTCTGGTGGGGCAGGATACATTGAACAGGTTATTGTAAGTTCATGCCTCCAGGAGAGGGACAGCCTGAATTTTCCATTCTGAGCCAAGCAGAGTGAGAGTTTGACCTTGGAGTTGTTTACTATAGGGAGGGGGGGCGGGGGGGTTGCACAATGGGTGTGCCTGCATACATTGCTGAAAGGTTGCGACTTTGAGCCAGGCTTTTTCCTTTTCTGGTGGTACAGGTGTGCAGGGTGGTCAAAAGCTATCAGGGATTTTCCTCCTGGCACTAGTTGGCAGCTGTAGATCCAAGCCCAGAGTTTTGGTTGGCAGCCTGGGTTCCAGAGATGGGAAGCAGAGTGGTACAGCCGGGACAGGAACACTGTTTGGGATCAGGGTCCCTGCCACCCATTTGTGTGACCTTGGGCCAGTACACTTTTACTTTTTGAACTCTGCTTTATCTGTGCTGTGAGAGGCGTGCTAGTCTCTAAGGTCGTCTGTGGACTCTGGCTGTCTCCTCCTCTTTCTTGGTGTCTGAGTTCTTGGGTCTCAGTTGTTCTAAATTGCCTAGTGTGTGTCCAGACTGTGTCTTGGTTCAACTGGCCCATAAATCCCTCCCCTGAACCTTTCTTGCTGTCTCAGTTAACTGACCCCTAAGGTCAAAAGTATGGTGTCATAGCCAGTGAGGCCTGTGCCCTAGGGCCCTCAACCCCAAACCCTTTCCTTTCAAAAAGGATTACTGAAGTTGGAGAGGGCACTCTGCAGCACAAAGGAAGGCAGGAATCTACAGCACATGGGCTGAGCTAGGAGACGGCCTGGGGTTCCATCCCACCTTTCCCATCACCAGCCTTGTGGCCATGACTTGCCTCTTGGGTGGGTTTCTCAGCCAGCACATGGGGTAAAGCCCAGCCGCACCTTGCACTTGGTTTGTGATGAGGGCTGCATGAAGAACAACTGTGAAATTGTCCTGCCAGCATTCCAGTTGGCTCAGTTGGTTAGAGCACAGCCTTGTAACACCAAGGTCAAGGGTTCGGTTCCCCTTATCAGCCAACTGCCCCCCCCCCCAAAAAAAAAAAGAAAAAAAAAACAGATGTAAGAGATTGCTGGTGTCTTCACTGTGTGGAAAGCCTGCCAGTTGATCCTGGAGTAGGTCCCTCAGCAAGAAGGCACAGGTGGGGTGTGGGGGTGAGCTTTGCTTGAGGGAGGAGGTAAATGGGGTTGAATCGAAAGGCCATCAACGAGATCCACCTTGTTTTTAGTGTAACAGACACAGGGCCAGGCTTTAAGAGAGGAGTCCCGCTGCTCTCCTTGATGTCCTCCCTCCTTCCCAGCTCTCCAGTGTTTTCTCAATACTCACGAACACCTGGACCAAGCAGTTAGTGGGGGTACAGGAGAGAAAGTGCAAGGGGATTGGCCATCTAGGTAAGTGTCGCATAAAGAAGGGGAGGCTTGCATTCTTGAGGATGGTCCGTGAATTATTATCAAAGCAGGCTGGGTAGCTCCCACCCTTGCCCCTCCCCTGCCCCCTAAGGAAGAAAGAAAGGAAATTTCTTGCTGTTCATTGGATAGGAAGGGGCGAGGGCAACCGCACAGACAGTGGCTGAGAGGATGGGGTGCGGCTCAGCGCTGTGTACAGGTGCTGCCGCTGCAGTGCCTAATTAAACAGACACAGCGGTGTCTGTGTCATGCGGGCACCTACAGAGGCCTGTGCACAGCTTGCATCTGGAAGAGGGGCATGGTTATTTTATTAAGTGAAACTCTGAGCCATGCACATGCTTTTCATGCTTTCTAATACAATCTCCCACTCTCCCTACAGCAGCTTATTTCTTTGAGTAAACTTTGCATTGATATATAACAGTAAAGGGCTTTAAAACTCAAGGCCGTAGATAGAGTGCCCGTGCGGTTGAACCCTTAAAATTAACCTTGGGTTCAGAGAAATGAAGCTGATGATAGCCCCAAGTTATTGATTTCTATGGATTTTTAGTCATTTCCTAACAGACAAATGTTACCAAACCACGACTTTTATCAAGTCATATTCTCAAGTCCGACACTTGGTTCCGCCCTCGTTAGCCTGCCCAGGAAGTCTTGAGCTCTGTCTGCCGCCTTTGCAGCCTCCCTTCCACCGATTTCTTGCAAGTCGCACTAGCTCCAGGTGCTTATGACCGTGAGCTCTTCATTTCACCGCCTGGTGAGGGAGGTGCTGTTGTCAGCCCCTTTTACAGAGAAGGAGGCTGACGCTCAGGTGTCCCTTGCCCAAGATCACACAACTGGTTGGTGCTGGAGACAGGTTTGTACCCAGGACCACCTGAGTTGGGGTTTGGGCTCGGAACCACTACACAGCCTTTCTCCCTGCCCAGCCCTCTCCCCATTGACATTCTGTCTGTCCTCCCAAGCCCAGCTCTCACCAAGCTCCTCAGACAACTCCCCCACCTGTGACTCTGTAGGCATGTCCCCTGCTACAGAGGTTCTTCACTAGGAAGCCATGGGCTTCCTAAAGAGTACATGGTATGAGGAGTCCATGAACCCCAAGGAATTGTATGTAGTAATGCACATGTGTATATCTGTGGGAAGAGGGTCCAGAGCTTTTATCCATCTTAAAGGAGCCCATGCCCCCAAGCCAGTTAAGAACCATAGTAGTTTTTAACAAACTCCCTATCCATCTGCCCCCACAACCACCAGTTGTGATATAACTGCCTTCATGGAACCCTCCTGTAGTTTGTCTGAGCCCTCGAGTCCTAGAGATACCTTTCAGTCCAAGAAGTAGCCATAGGGATATCTCGGCTAACTGTGACTCCAAATGGGTCCTGACTATTTTTGCCTCACCAGTCCAGGCTGCCTCTCCCAGCCACAGCAGGCCAGGCCCGCTCAGGGAGGGGGAGCCAGGACACCGGGGTGCCCAGTAGTTACTGTTTCAGCTCTGCAGCCAGTTGGGCAGTGTTTGATTCCCAGCTTTGTGACCTCTCTGGGCCTCAGATTCCTCATCCTCAATATGGGGTGATAACAGTCCCTGCCTCAAACGGTTGTGAGGACTAACTGAACTGGGCCTGGCATGGGTTACACACTTAACTTGGGGCAGTTTGTTTTCCCCCTCCCAGGACATTAAGATTCCACAATGGGCAAAGTGTGGGTGTCAGTGGGGTGGAGGAGGTGCAGTCCTTTTGGTGAGCTGCATAAGAATCCTCCCACTGTTTCCATCAGCTCCTCCAACAGGGAGATGTGTGGAGGATCCCTGTGTCTCTAGGAAAAGGACAGAGCCCTGTTCTTATGACAGACTCCTTCTCTAGATGGTCTGTTGGCGTGGGTGGGTGGCAGTGCTCGCCCGTCTGGTCAGGAAGCAAGCAAGCTTTCTGCATCAGGGTGCCTGTCTCCATGGGCAACCGATGAGCAAAGAATGGTGTTCTTTATGGTGAAGTCTCTCTGGATTGTTCCATCTCGGGTTGTGGGGGCCAAGAAGCCCAAGCATACAGTGCTGCCCTTCAGTAGGAACCTGAGACACAGCAGCTGGCTTGGTCCCTGAGCCTATGCCACTGCCAGGTGTGTGGCCTTAGACACAGGCATTGGGGAAAAGAGTGGGCACGGCCTTGTCCAAAAGCCCTAAGGTTGCCCCTCAGGGAAGGCCCACCACAGAGCACACCCTCAGATGGCCGCCAGCCCACTGGCTCGACCAACTGCCCAGTATCTGCTTTGAGCCACAGAACACCCACGAGCCTCAGCCATGAGAGTCTTTGATTTTCTCTCTCCTCAGAAATCAACGACCGGGAGCAGAAGTTACATGCCCTTAAGGAGGTATTAAAGAAATTTCCAAAGGAAAACCATGAAGTCTTCAAATATGTCATCTCTCACCTAAACAAGTAGGTTGCAGGGCTTTCATGTCAGCTTTTCCTCCATTGAAATATTAACAGCCAGAGTCAGTTAGCAGCATAATTAGGCTGACCAAGATGCCACCCTCGGCCTGGCACCGTGTCAGGCCCCAGCCTGCAGCAGGTCAGTGGTCTGCCTCGGAGGTGCTGGTTGGCTTCCTCAGTGGGGGCTGGATCACTGTATGAGAAGAATCCTGGCCTCTTGGCTCATCCTCAGGTTCCGTCCTGATTCTGTCTAAGAGAAGCCCACATGGCCCCAAGTGGGCTCAACACCAGATAGTGCACATAGCTTTGGCTGGGCTTGTAGGGCTGTGGGCATTCTGTAGAGTCTGTGACCCTGTTTTAACCCCCCAAGCTAACAGAGAGGGAAGATCCTCTGGTTGGTGCAGATGCCTTCTAAAATCTGCTCCTGAACTAAAAAAAAACCCAAGAGCCTCCCAAAATTCTCTCTCCAATATTCATATTCCCAATTGGTGTGTGACAAGATACTGTGCCAAGGAGGTGTGCTGTGGAAAACAGCAACCTGGATCAAGCGAGTGCAGGCCACTGCAGTCAGGAAGGCTCTTTTCCTGAGTGTTTCCAAAATTCATGCATAGAATAGGTTTCTTGGCAAAGTAGTATTCTTTTTTTTTTTTAAAGATGACCGGTAAGGGGATCTTAACCCTTGACTTGGTGTTGTCAGCACCACGCGTAATAACTTCGTATAGCATACATTATACGAAGTTATACGAAAGTAGTATTCTTTTTTTTTTTAAAGAAGACCGGTAAGGGGATCTTAACCCTTGACTTGGTGTTGTCAGCACCACGCGTAATAACTTCGTATAGCATACATTATACGAAGTTATACGAAAGTAGTATTCTTTTTTTTTTTTAAAGAAGACCGGTAAGGGGATCTTAACCCTTGACTTGGTGTTGTCAGCACCACGCTCAGCCAGTGAGCGAACCGGCCATCCCTATATGGGATCCGAACCCGTGGCCTTGGTGTTATCAGCACCACACTCTCCCGAGTGAGCCACGGGCCGGCCCTGGCAAAGTGGCATTCTGTGGAGCTCTAACTTGGGACACATACACACAGACTCCGTCTCTCTCTGCATAGCCAGAGCATTGTCACCCACTTTGGTTGTTGGGCGAGTGAGTCCCTGAGGTAGTCTGTCCCACCACCGGAGATTTGCCATGTGCCAGGGCCTCTGTGCAGCTCCTCAGGGACTTGCCATGTGGCACCACAGGGGCAGAGAAGAGTGGGCATAGAGGGGCTCAGCGTGGACTCCTAGTCCAGTAGGGGCACAGAGAGCTGTGCATGGGCCTTTTCTGCTCACAGCAGCAGCTCCAGGTTCATAGGCTGAGATGGGCAGGCAGGGAAAGCATCCTGGGTAACGATGACTGTGTGTACATGTGGGACAAGGCAGGGGCCCTGTGGAGCCCTGACCGTGAGCTTGGTTTCACCTGCAGAGTCAGCCACAACAACAAGGTGAATCTCATGACCAGCGAGAACCTCTCCATCTGCTTCTGGCCCACCTTGATGAGACCCGATTTTAGCACCATGGATGCGCTCACGGCCACACGCACCTACCAGACAATCATTGAACTCTTCATCCAGCAGTGCCCCTTCTTCTTCTACAATCGTCCCATCAGTGAGCCTCCTGGCGCCGTGCCCAGCTCCCCCTCGACCGTGGCTTCCACTGTCCCCTTCCTCACCTCCACACCTGTCACAAGTCAGCCATCACCGCCCCAGTCCCCTCCACCCACCCCTCAGTCCCCAATGCAGCCACTGCTTCCCTCCCAGCTTCAAGCCGAACACACGCTGTGAGCCACCAAGGCCTGGGGCGAAAGGAGAACTGGTCGCTATTTGACTAGGTGGCATTTGGCCTTGAACAAAACCAAGTCCACTGGGGCAGAGGCAGGGGAGTGTCCCTCTCCCCTACCACCTTCTCAAGACCTCAGCAGTGGCACCAGCCAGTGGTTTACCCCAGGCTTAGCTGTCAGGCCCTGAGCCCAGCACTACAGACCTGGGGCTACCTGTAGGCCGCAGCCGTGAGGCCCTGCCCTTTGACTTGGACCCCTTTAAGGACTGAACTAGTCAGGCAGCAGCCCAGTCCCCGCCACACGTTCCCTGCTCCCTGGACCACTTCCCCCTCCTGCCCGCCTGTCTACGCACACCAGCCTCAGGGCGCCTGCCCCCTGCTTGTACAGAGCCCATTATTGAGACAGTGCCCTAGCCTTTGCTAGGGGAGAAGGATGTTCTGAGATTCAGGCCTGCCCTGGGGCAGGCTGGCAACCCCTGAAGAGAACACATCCCGTCCATTTTATCCACCTTCCATATCTGCACACACACACCTGGATTGTGGACAGGGGCACAAGGACAGCCTGGCTAGCAATCTCGGGAACACATAGGCCATGGCTCTGCCACCCCAGGGCACATCCATGCTGAGGCCGTTTGCCTGGCAGATCAGAACGTCGGGAGGATAGCTTTGTGCTCAGATCGAGAGCGCAACCTCTCCACCCCACTCCTCCCACTTCACGGGCTGCCGGATACATTCCCTTTAAAACAAAGGAACACTGGAAGAAAAATGGAAAAATCCCTCCAAAAATTAAGAGAAAAAGGAAGAAACTACAGGAAGAAAACTACAGACCTCAAGATTTCACTTTCCTCCCACCTCTGCTGGGAGACTAACAGTGGAGGTAGCCCTTGTCTTTGTAACAGCAAAACAAGGATTCCCAGGACAGTAGCCTGAGAGCCTGTTGGGGTCCCACTTAGGTCCTGTCACCAGATCCCCCTTTCCCCAAGAAGACGGTTCAAGCTCTTGGTAGGGAGAGCTGGGCAGACCAGCCTCGACCCTGGGCTGCTCCGCAACACACTACATTGCTATGAAAACACTCCTCGTATGTGCGTGCCACGTGTATGTAGGGGGCGGGAATAGCTGGAGGGTGCCAGGTGCACTTGGGGTTTGGGTTAGTGTTTGGTGTTGAAGTGGAATCATTTCATCCCAGGCTGTGGGATGCTGCCAACAGGAGTGTCTGCAGGATGTGTACCAGGTGCGGGGTACTTTAAAGGAATGACAGCCTGCTGGTGCCCTTGCAGGGTCATCCTTCATGATCCTGGGGGCAGCAGGGCCCAGAGAAGCTCAGTACACAGAGGCACCAATCCTGCCTGTTACCACCATTTGCCCTGGCCTGGCCTTTCCACTCACCCCACCTCTGCCCCCAAGCACAGCAGCCCTGCTAGGCTGCTAGAAGCAGTGGCTGCCCCTACTCCCAAAGTTTTCATCCTCATGGCTGGGCCATGGCCTCTGCAGCCAGGAAGCCTGACACTGAGGTACCCTGGGTGTGGGGGGAGTGGGGTAGAGAGGGCCCCACACCACACAGTTCTCGGGTCTCGTTGCACTTTAAGAAACTGCATCTGTGGTATGTTCCCAGGGGGCCCAACAAAATAGTAGATGCCTCCGGACAGTGTCCTGCCGCCCCCAGACTAGATGCTTCCATGTGGCTGCTGAAGGGTGGAGTAGGCCCTGCTACTCACTGAGTTCTTCTCGTTAAGGACAAGCTGGCTGTCTTACTGTCTCTCGTTCTTGATGGAAAAATAAGGTGCATGGAAACACTGAATTACCCCTGCAAGTTTTACCACCTCTTAGAGAATACAAATCAAAAAACAAACCCAAGGTACATACGTATGTATGTAAATGTTGGATGATGGCTCTTTTTTTCCCCTTCTGGTGGATCTGTACCTGGTGCCCCAGGGTTGGCTGGAAGGTGATGTTTCGACTGAGGTTGGTAGATGCTTCTCTGGCTGTTGAACTCCCCCAGCCCTGAGCCCCAGGCAGATAAGGAAATTGCTCCTTTAATTAATCCCTCTGCCTTTTTCTAGGTCATGTTCATCCAGTCCACTCTTCAAGGAATTGGAGATAGAACAGAAACCATGGGGGTGGCCTGGGGCCATCTCATGTAAACAGAGGTAAAAAGTAGCCCATCTCCTCCCACTGCTAAGTCTTAACACAGCCCCACCTTTGTGCTCTCATCTGTGAGACTGCACAGCCATGTGCATTGTTGGTGGTTTCTCCAGGCTGGGGGTGGGGGGACAGGAAGAGGCATTGAGGAGGAATCCCTGTGCTTTGTACTCGTACCTTTGCAAAAGTACCAGAAACCAGGCTTAGTTGAGGGGGGTGCCTCCAGCCCCACAGTGCTCCCTGCCAATCTGTGGGCAGCAGCCAGGGCCTCTTCACACCCCGTCCACCTGCCTCAGGTCCTCCCAGGGCTTTAGAGGTGGGCAGATGGAGACTGTGGTGGCTCATGCCCCAAGAGGGCCACCATTCCACAAAGCTCCAAGGGTTCCTCTTATTTCTGTTTGCTAACTCTTCAGCCTCTTATTTTCTGCTCCATTTTATTTCTGAGTGGGCATTGCCAGTAGTGGCAGTACTGGGCCCTGAATTTCACCTTCCAGTCAAGGTAGCATTCAGACCATATGGGCACTCGGCCAGGACCCACAAAGGAAGAGCACCTGGAGGTTTGTTGGGACATACTGACCTTAAACAGAATGCTGCCTAGCCCTTGCTTTCACCCAGGGCTTTAAGCTCCGGGAAGTGCTTTCACAGATGATTCTTGCGTGAGCTACACATAGCTCTCAGGAGTGGGTGGCAGGCATCTCCTTGTCCAAAATGGGTAAGCTGTGCACCCCTGCCCAGCAAGAGTGTAGACACTGTTTGATAGAAATGAACAGCCCTTGATGGTAAGCTTAAGACATTCTGGTTTAGTGACATCTGATGCCTATACAGAGGGAGTTGACCCAAGGTTAGGTGGCCTGGCTCATGAATTCGCATGGGATTCTTGGCTTGTGTCTCCACATTTATTCTGCATTCTGTCACGCCACTCTTCCCATCGCTTGACATTGCAAGGAGATCAGGAGAGATTTGGTGCTTCTGCTTCCTGTGCTCTCCCCACCCCAGCCCCTTGGTTTTTCTTCCTGCTTAAGGCCAGAAGCATGCTGCTGGGTGAGATTCTTCTGGTAGAATGTGTTTGTCTTTGCCACGGCGGACAGAGGGTGACATCATGGGAGCAGCTCGCTGGCCAGAAGAGAATGGGGGCTCACCCTCCCTCCCCTTCCCTGTGCCTCAGCGCCTCCTGGTCTTGGGGGAGTGAGGCCGTGAGGCTAGAGTCCCCTCAGCATAGACTCCCCTAAGCCACTAGGCATTTTGGCCTCACACACACCCTCAAAACTTGACAGCGGACTATCTGCAGCATCTTGTCATCAAGTCATCTTCAGCTGTGCCCCTCTCCCCTCCCCTCCAGTGAGAAGAACCGCACTGCACTGGGGCATCGGCTAGAGAAAGTATGTGCGGTGGTCTAGGGAGGCTTCTGCCACAGAGAGCTGGTTTTGTGAGTGGGCTTTTTGCAAGGGGGAAGCTGTAGGGGTTGGGGTAAGTTGCTGGGGGACCAGGGTCACTAGCTCCATAATTCACACGTACACTAGGGGTGGTATCCCTAGGTCTGTGTCCAGGTCAAAAGTGGCACAGAAAAGGGCCGGGACAGGGGTGGCCTTTGGCCTTGGCCTACAGCTTGTGGAGCACTGCTTGGGAGCACGGCTGACTGCGTGCAGTGGGCCGAGGAGCCCCTGCGCACCTCTTGCTTGGCAGCGTGTAGGTAAGGGAGGATGAACTCGGTCACCTCCAGGACTGTGCTAACTTGGAAAAGGCCTGCCTTGGGGCCTAGGGGATGGGCTCAGGGAAGGCCTTCTCTAAGGTCCTGTGGAATGGATTCTTCCCTTCTCCCAGAGCCATCTCAGCAACCGCCTGCCTGTGGGCTCCTTCCCAGCAGACCCCTCCGGCAGACTCAGACACAGCAACGATGCCACACTTTCAGAGCACTGGTGACAGGGCGTAAGTTATTGTTTGCATTAAAAAGAATCTTGTCCCTGTGTACATTTAAAAAAAAAGGAAATGTTTCAGAATTGTATGGGAATAAAACTTGTTTGAAAATTTGGAATAGTGCTGCTGCCAGCTTATTTTTCTGGTACTTGTATTTTCACATGTTAAATGATCTTTATATATGTTGAATTAACAAATATTTTGAGTTTCCTAAGAAAAACAAAAACATATTAATGGTATGGAAATGTGTTAGTAGTCTGGCTGTGTGCCCAAAATTCTGTTTCACAGCAAAAGTGACGAACTGTATGTAAGAAAGTATAACAATTATTTCTTTGTATTTTAGGGGCTTTAACCAGAACATCCTCTAGTTGGTCTTAGGAATGTTTGCTTAATTTCCAGACTTCTTTTTTTAAACACATCGTGGGATTTTTGCGGCTCCAACCCGATTAGTGCATGGTCAGCCCTCAACAAGGCTGAGGCATCTCTGATGGAGGTGTTTTTGTTTGGTTTTGTTTTTTAAAATCATGTATTTGCTACAAAGTATTGTACTTGTCTCAATGGGAATGGTGTAAAAAACTGAAAAGGCCTTATGTGACATGTATCATAGTTAATAAATCAATCTTGTAAAAAAGCAAACCTGAGAGAAATGAAAAGGGCCCCTCCTCCTGGGCTGCAGCCCCTGCTGAGCGCACCCTCAGTGAGCAAGGCCCACAGGCTCCTGCCCCTTACGCCTCTGCTGGGCCAGTCCAACGCTACTCCAGCGTCCCCCAGGGCAACCCAACCAAAGATCTCTGGGTCCCATGGTGACCCCAGGAGAAGAGGCACTCCAGGAGAGCCTAGCTGCGGGCCAAGCTGGCACCTCCCGCCTCTGCTCCAGACTGCTGCAAGGAGCCCCTCTGCAAGTGCAGGACCTGCTTCCCTCGCATGTCTCTCCTCTAGCACGGTGATCTACTTCCCAGAATTCTCATTATTCCTGTAGTTTCTTCCATGTCGTTATCCAGAGCACTGTTCACAGGCCCCTGTGGCCACAGGGACCCAGCTGGCCTCAGGTGTACCAGGATCGGCAGCTGCTGTTCTTCCCTCCCACTCCCCATTGTCCTAGGTGAGGCTGCACCAGTGGCGCTGTGAGTCAGATGTCAGCATTTGCTTCCTGGACAGCGGAGGGATAGGTGTGTGGACTTCTGAGAGTTCCAGGGACAGGGTAATGAATAGGTCTCATTGCCAGGAAGCGACAGACTTAGGGCCCTTCTCTCCAAGGGAGGGGTAGGGCTGAAGTTTAGAGAGGGAAGATCCCAAGTCCAGACACCACCCCCTTCGCCCCCATGCTGGCGCTGGCATCAGAGACCTAGGCTCCAGCAAAGGAGCATAGCGCGTGGCCTCTTGCCGGGGCAGGGTGTCCTCATCGGAGTTAACCACTACCACCATTATCCAGAACAGTGCCTCCAGGGGTGGGGGTTGGCTACCTCCGAAGAAGCCTTACCACCAAAAACAAATCATCTCTTCCCACCCCACAAAAAATCTTTGTTGAGAGCACCTCCCTCTTTCCAGTCACCCAGGCTCAAATCTGCCCTATCCCCTGCTCCCTCCTTATCCTTTATTGCTTCATATTAATTGAACAATTTATCTCTCAGATGTATTCAATTAAAGAATTTGTCCCTGGGCCGGCCCGTGGCTCACTCGGGAGAGTGCGGTGCTGATAACACCAAGGCCACGGGTTCGGATCCCATATACGGATGGCCGGTTCG